CATCTTTGAAAAAATTGAGGCTCTCCATAACCAAATATAGATGAATTTTACACTTCTAAAGAAAGAGATTTTATGGATGGTGAAGAACTCATTACAAGAACATTGGTTCATGTAAAAGACACCTCTACATTTATATAGCACGTCATTACAGAAAGAAGAATAGATCCACATGACTCCATATTGAGAATAGCTATGGATTCAGGTCAGGGATTCCTTAAAATTACTGTATATGTTTTTAATTCCCTGGAAAACTTCAGATTCAGAGCTAGATGATGCTGGAGTAAAGAGATCATTTCTTACAGCAATTGTTGAGGAGGTTTCTGAAGCTAACGATAATCATTGAAAGCTTATTGAGCCTCAGAATTTAAACAATGTAAAGTTTTACATTGCATTCGATCTTAAATGTGCAAAATTAGTAGTTCAAAATTAGTAGTCATGCTGGGAAATACAGTTGTTTATATTGTGAGGGATGCTGCACTCGTGAGCCTGGTATCAAGAGAACACTAAGGTCCTTGGATGAACACTACAACAACTTTACCCTTGATGGAAAGAAGAAGTTAAAAATGTCGTACTTCAAAAATGTTATAAATCCAAGACTTTTGTACAAAGAGGATGATCCTGAAACTCTTCTTGAGGAGTTGGTTCCTGTTCTTGAGCTCTATATTCTTCTAATGGGAATAGTAAGTAAACTTGCAGTACTTCTGGTTAGTGTATGGCATTTGTTTGAGAAGTGGTTACAATCAAATTACATCATGTTTTGAGGATACCAAGGCATAGAACTTGATGGAAACAATGCAAACAAGTTCCTAAAGTTGGTGGATATACTTGAAAGAGATTTTTTTTTTTTTTTTTTTTTATTTGCATTCACTCCCAACAAGGCTGCAAGCAACCACTATTAAGTTGGGAGTTACTAGGAAAAAAAAGAACAGAGTTATAAAGCAAGGAAACGGTTGACAGAAAACTTGAAAAGTTGAAGGTTGTATGAGTCAGGAAAACATGAAGATGGGAGAGAGTTCCAAAGGATTGAAGTGCGGGGAAAAAAACTAGATGAATAAAATTTTTTAGAGCATACAGGGACAGATACAGTAAACGAATCAGACTTAGCTGAATGACGAGTAAAACGAGAATGAATTTTAGTTGATGGAACTAGAGATGATAACTTCTTTGAGCAGTGACCATGATAGTATCTGTAGAAAAGAGAAAGAGATGCAACTTTACGACGATGGGAAAGAGGCTTAAGCTTAGCAGATAGTCCAGGTCCAAAAACATTTATAACGCCTTTTTGGACCTTGTCAAGAAGAGAAAGTGAATCATTAGAAGAACCAGCCCAAATATGACAACAGTATTCCATACAGGGACGAATAAGAGATTTGTAGAGGTAGAGAATGGAATCAGAAGTAAGGAAATGGCGAGCACGATAAAGAGAAGCAACCTTAGCAGAAGCTAACTTAGCAACCGATTGTATATATGGTTTCCATGAAAGGTCAGTAGTAAGCGATAATCCAAGAAGATGTAAAGAGGAGGACTCAGTAAGAGGATTACCATTCATTAATATAGGAATGTTGACCATATTACGGTAGTTGTTTGCAGTAAGCAATTGGGTTTTTTTAGAGTTGAAATTCACAAGCCACTGTGAACCCCAATCTATTACTGAAGTGAGATCAGATTCAAGATCAGCTGCTTGTTCTAGGCGATCGAAAAGAGAAGACTTTTTGTCAAGACAGGAGTATAAAGTTGAGTCATCAGCAAAAAGAGCTACTTTAGATGAAAGGTTGTCAGGAAGATCGTTTATGTAGATAAGAAACAAAACAGGGCCCAGGATGGAACCTTGGGGAACCCCAGAAGTTACTGGAAATAAAGAAGAGTGTTGGCCTTCAAGGATGACTTTAATAAACCGGTTAGAAAGAAATGATTTGATAATCTCAAAAACTTTCCCAGAAACACCATATGAAGATATTATAAACATTGGAAAATATGACTTATTACCAATAGTAAACTGTATCAAAAAGTTTAGATGCCTTCAAGCAGAAGCATTAGGTATGGTAGCAGGGGATAAAATTAGCACTGCTGTTCTGGAGTTTAAAAAGCCCTATGCAGATTTGATTGAGTACGTGCATGTCACATTCAAGGGTATCAAGCTCAGTATTACATGGAAAGTTCACATAGCAGTATGTATTATACTTACTTTTCTTCATTCAACTGAACAGGAGAAGAAATGAATTCAAAAAAACATGGAATAGATACAAACGAAGAGTTAATCATATAGATTATGCAAAACGGCTAAAATCCAGTGTTGTTGAGTTTGCATCAAAAACATTAAATAATTTAATAATTATATAGTTGAATTTAATGTTTATAATTTCAAGTATATATGTAAAGTATATTATTTATATCATTTAGACTTCTAATATAACTAATTAACATAAAGTTTTTTTTATTTTTTACTTTTATTTGTTTAGAATAAGTTATAGCTATTTTTTGATATTTTTAAATTTATTTTTTTTTCAACATTTTTCTCAACACGCCAGAAGTTTTAAATGTTATAAATAGTGTCTACTAATGTATACCCTAACCCTAACCCTAACCCTGATGGTGGTCACTCAGGTCCACAGTGATAAGTTATAGCTATTTTTTGATTTTTTTTGTCTTAATTTCTTTTGAAAATTCCAACACCCCAGAAGTTCTAAATGTTATAAATGATGTCTACTAATGTATACCTTACTATTGAAAAAAAAATCAGACCTGGGGAACAACTTAACCTGGCAGTCACTCTATTCTACAGTGCATAATAAAAATGCTGATTCATTTTTTGATCTAATTAATCGGAGTTTGGACATACATGAACCTTTACTTATACTTTTATTGCCAAAGGATGAACTTTTAAAATATAATGACACCCCAATGTATGTACCTTGTTTTCCTGTTTATGGACAAGCTATTAAAAGATGTGTCCAAGAAGTCACAAAAACTTCTCAAGCATTATTTAGAAAAGAAAAAAGAGATGGGTTCATCAGAGCAACATTACCACATCAAAAAATCATGCCCGTGAACTAATAAAAAAAAGATTTATTTCAACTAATTTAGGCAATATAAATTTTTTTAGTTGTTTTTTTTTTGCTTTGGGATAGTATTTATGATCACAGTAAATAAATTTAACATTAAATATATTTTTTTACTTTTATTACATTTTTAAAGGCACTATAAATTTTTAATCCTTAAGAAATTTCTGAACTTCGGTTTGTGAATTATTGTAGGTTCTATATTATTTATTATTTATAGAACAAGTTTTTGTCTTCTATTAATATCCTACAGCAGACATGGTATGCTAATGTATACATTTTTGTATGACCTTATAAGGAGTAGCACCCAAAATTATTTTGTATTTTAATGATATATGCCTAAGTTTTTTTTGATGATTGAATCCCCATAGGGAAAAAGGTGCCTATTTGATGAGTTTTTAGTAAAACTCACATTATTCAAACGTGCCCTCTGCGCCCACAAGACAAACTTTTTAAGAGGAAAAAAAATATCACGTTACTTACAATATCCATATTGTATAACATAATTAAATTATTACGCTCTACTATTTCTAACATTTATAAATATTTTTGTTTTTGTAAAATCCATAATGGTAGACAACTTTTCTTACACCTACCTTTTTTGTAAAAAGGCAGAAAAGTGTCATTTTGATGAGTTTTTAGTAAAACTTATATTTTTCAAACACCCTGCCCCCCCCCCTAGACCCCTTCCTTCACTAGAAAAAACTTTCAAGAAAAAAAAAATTATTAACGTCAGTTCTAATATCCTAATACATAAAAAAAATATTAGGTGTGCTCCCAGATCCAAAATTTTAAAAGTATGACCCATTCTAATGAGCATACTTAAAGATTTTTAAGATGTAAGCAGTGAAGTTCAAGTTGCTTTGAATTTTTTGAACTGACTTTATTCTGTGATAACAGAAGTCAGCACAATTAGCATTAATTTATATGCAGTAATTAGCGGCACTAATATAATTAAAACGCTATTAAATTTTTTGCGTTGTAAAAATATTATCATCACGCATGAATAAATCTGACGCAAAATTTTGATGCTAAAATAATGAAATTTAATTTTTCAAAAACAAAAACTTGTTGAAAAATAAAGCATAGAAACATTTACTTTTGACTTTATTCAAAGATACCATCTTTGTGTAATATATGCATGTCCAAATTACTCAGTGTTTTTCATTGAACCTAGTTTAAAGTCCTAAAGTTGCAATGGTTTTAATTGCTTTTTGAATAAAAACAAAACATATATAATCAATTACAGAAAGATATTTAGTAATGTAAATACATATTTACAATACTAAATATCTTTCTGTAATTTAAATTTAAAAAATTAGTTATTGTATTGTTTAAAGGTTTGAGTTAATAAAATTGAAAAAATAACTAACTTTTATTTCTTTTGTGCGCGTAAAACAAAGTAGTATCTTTTCAATAAAAAGAGGTTAAAATTTGATCTTTTAATAATAAGTTTTGTTAATAGTAAATCATAAGTTTTATTAATAACGAATCATTATGTTCCATAAATTTATTCTTATTGTCAGGATGATATTTTTTTACTTAATGTTTTTTGAGGTAATTTAAAGTGCTCATATTACCAAGTGGTCTGGATAACATGAGCACTTTTGCTACTTTTTTTAAACCTTTGTGTTTTTGAGAAAAAATTTTGAGTGCCCAAATATATATGTGGATCTTGAGTAATGACCCCTAAAAATTGTTTATTCGCAAAAACTTTGGATTCAGCATAATTAGTTTTGAAAATATTTCAACTTTTGCTCAAGGTGCTCATAATACTCTAATCTACTCTACATTCATAATACCCTAATCTACTCTACATTTAATTTATTTATAATGTTAGTTAATATAAATTCACAATATCATTTAAATCGCAATTTAAAAAATAAGAAAACATTTACTTATAATAATATATAAATAACTTTTATTGAATAAATCACTCACTGATATGATATATTAAAACCAAGTTCAGAAATGCGTTTATCACTATAAAAATACAAAAGAGCCACACCAGAAGTAGACTTGACTGTAATCACGTTATTACTATTTGGATTATCTATCGATTGTATGACACCACTAAAAATACCAATCAAAACATCAGAATAATCAAATGGAAAAAATTAAATAAACTTAAACTTAAAAGTTTAAAAATTGAAAGTTTAAACTAAACTTAATTTTGGAAAAATGATATATATTCGACATATTATATTTTGTTATTTTGTTATGTCTGATTCCATTCTCTTGTCTTTAAACAAGTTTTATTGAATAAATGTTTATAAAAAAAAAATTTAAATAGTTTTGGAAATTAAAATAAAAAATAAAAATAGACAAAATAAAATTAGGTGCAAATCTATTTCAAAAAGTAATTTTAGAAATTATAACTAACTTTATAAAATTTATTTACTAACTTTTTAAAACAAACATTATATAATTTAAATTATTTTATAAACATGTATATGAAATATAAATATTACCATTAAATTTTAATAACGTAATTTTATTTATTACCTTTTTTTAATTATATCAAAAAATCATTTACAAAATTTTAAAGAAAGTACAAAATTTTACAAAAATTATTCATACTTATTTAAGATATTTTTAAAACCTGTATTATAAAGAAAATATACCAAGACTGATACCTGTAATAAATAATAAAGGCAACAATAAATTAATAATAATATAATAATAATGATTTGCTGTACTCATTTTTGCTGTACACAAAATTTATGTCTAACAAAAATGCCGACTAACTAATGATGTGTATAATAACAACTATGCGGACTAACTAATGATGTGTTTAATAACAACTATGCTGACTAACTAATGATGTGTATAATAACAACTATGCGGACTAACTAATGATGTGTATAATAACAACTATTCGGACTAACTAATGATGTGTATAATAACAACTATGCTGACTAACTAATGATGTGTATAATAACAACTATGCTGACTAACAAATAATGTGTATAATAACAACTATGCGGACTAACTAATGATGTGTATAATAACAACTATGCGGACTAACTAATAATGTGTATAATAACAACTATGCGGACTAACTAATGATGTGTATAATAACAACTATGCGGACTAACTAATGATGTGTATAATAACAACTATGCGGACTAACTAATGATGTGTATAATAACAACTATTCGGACTAACTAATGATGTGTATAATAACAACTATGCTGACTAACTAATGATGTGTATAATAACAACTATGCTGACTAACTAATAATGTGTATAATAACAACTATGCGGACTAACTAATGATGTGTATAATAACAACTATGCTGACTAACTAATGATGTGTATAATAACAACTATGTGGACTAACTAATGATGTGTATAATAACAACTATGCGGACGAACAATGTGTATAATAATTTATCAACTTTTATTTAATCAACAAAAAAAGTTTTTTGTCTGACCAAGCTTTCCATTAGCTCTTGCTGCAATTGTGTTGATGTGTTTTTCCAATTTGACATTGTTCAATATCATAACACCAAGATCTCTCTCTAAGATAGTTTCTTGTGTAACTGAAACATTTTGCTGAATCCTATTGAGTGTACTGCACATCAATAGGATTCAAAACAATCGCAGTTTAAGTTTGTTTTGTGGATATGCATAATTTTACATTTTTCTTTATTGAAGTTGAGCAATCATTCAACCAGCTTACTTAAGTCTTCCTGTAATATTTAACCAGCTTACTTAAGTCTTGCTGAAACACTCAACCAGCTTTCTCAAGTCTTGCTGTAACATTTAACTAGCTTACTTAAGTCTTGCTATAACATTCAACCAGCTTACTTAAATATTGCTGTAACATTCAACCAGCTTACTCAAGTCTGCCTGTAACATTCAACCAGCTTACTTAAGTATTCCTGTAACATTTTATCTTTGACTGTATAAATGACAGAAACAATTTTCAGTTATTATACATTACAAAATATCTATCACTGAATTGTCCTCAAGTGTTTCAGATGTTATAATTTAACATTTTGACTAAATTTTGAGTCCATAACTTATAGTTATAATTTGAAAAATAAAAAGTTATAATTTAACATTTTGACTAAATTTTGAGTCCATTTTGAGTCCTAACATTTTGAGTAAATTAGTGCAATTAAGTTTGGATGTTAAAAAACTATATTGAAACTCATAGAGTAAAATACTCTTAGTCAAGTGATTCATTATTGTGTATCTTATTATGATTTCCATTACTTTGCACACTATTGATGTGAGTGATACAACTTGATACAATTTAATACAATTTGTTACTTTTAATTTATCTCCTTTACAAATAAAGATTGTTAATTAATGGAATAATAGTTTTAAAAACATAAATATCCTGTTTTATAAAGTTAAAACATTCAATATGTAATATAATAAAATATAATAGAAAGCTGTAGTAGTTCGATAACTACAAGTCAAATTAATAGTAATTAATTTCACTTTGACAGCATATACATTGTGTATTTATTCTTGGTAAATAAGATAAATTATAAATTAAAAATCATATAGCTCTAGATATTTATCAATGTTTTGAATGAGTTCAAGATTTTGCCTTTGATGATAAAATCTGGTAGTTTGTTCCACATTGATGAGACTTTATTTGTTAAAAATTGACTACGAATATTCCAGTTTTTAACTATTTGTCTTCTGATTTTGAAGTTATGGCCCCTTGTGTTGGGGTGATATGAGGCAAAAATATTACAATATAGTTCTACAATATTTATTTTTTTAATTAGCTTGCACATTTAAATAAAGTCGCCTCTTACGTCTTTTTTCCAGTGTACTTAAGCCATGTATTTTAATTCTTTTTTCATAACTTTGTTTTTCGAATCTAGGTTATCCATTTATTGGCATAACATTGAATTTTTTCAAGTGCAATAATATCACTTTTAATGTATGGGCACCATGCCTGTATCGCAAATTTAAGATCGGGTCTTATAAAATGTTATGTATAGTATCTTAAACATTTTTTTTTTGATGTAACGAAATATTTTTTTCAACATTCCAAGTATTGAATAAGCTTTTGATGTACAATTGGTTATATGAATTTACCATTTGACATTTGATGACATTGTAATTCCCAGATCTTTTTTGGTATCAGAGACTGCTAATATTGTGTCACCTAGTTATAAATATAGTGAAAATTTTTTTTCTAAAGTGCATAATATGACATTTTTCACTATTATATTGTAATTGCTTGATCTCTTACCATTTGCAGGCTTGATTAATTTCATTCTGAAGCAATTGACAATTCTCAGCGCTAGCTACTTTTCTGATTAACTTGGTGTCATCTGCAAAGAGCTTAGAGTGTTCTAAAATCTCTGTTAAATTGTTGATATATAAAATAAATAAGATTGGAGAAATTACCTATCCTTGGGGAACACCGCTTGTTATCAATTCCCCATTTGATGCTTCATCAATCTTTGGTGTTGATTAGTTAAAAAGTCGCTAATCCAGTTGCATACAACATTTGATATTCCATATGACTTAAGTTTGATTAATAATCATTCATGAGGTACCATGTCAAATGCTTTAGTCAAGTCAAGATAAAAAATATCTACTAGAATGTTTTCTGCTAGCAATTTACTAAAAAAATCCATTATTTCAATTAGATTTGTTAAACAAGATTTCCCCTTTACAAATCCATGTTGATGTTTATTTAATAAACCATTATTTGACATATGTTAATATATTATGTTGGATACTTTCGAGTACTTTAGAGACTATTGAGGTTAATGAAACTGTAGTTGCTAGCAATCAGTCTGTTCCATTTAATTGGTAGTTTTGAGCGATTTTTCAAAAATCATAGCATGCAGTAAATAAAGGCAGATGCACATCATTTTAGTACTATTGATTTTACCATGGTCCAGGAGATTTATATTCATTGAAGAATTCAACTGAAGAAGTTTTTCTTTAATTAATTTTACAGTTATTATATTATTTTTTATTGCCTCACAAGGACAAATATAGTTTTTTACAATTGGTAAATTATTGGTATTCTCCCTGGTAAATACTGATTTAAAGTAATCATTCATAATGTTAACTACTTGGTTAGGTTCTTTAATTAATTCATTATTGGATGTTAAAGCTCGGATGGTATTTTTTAAATTGTTTTTACTGTTAATATATTTGAATAGAAGTTTTGGATTGTGGGTTGAATTACAAGATTCTTTTCAAATGAGCGTTTTGCTTGTAGAACTTTACTCTTTAAATCTTTGCACACTGCTTTGTATTTTATTTTGGATTAAGCTTGTCTATTGTTTTTTGAATAAATTTAACCATAGTGACCTTTTGACATGCACTAAATCTTTCATTTTTCGTGTGATCCAGGGAGATCTATTGGCATTATGAGTTCTAGTTTGTTGTGGTATAAAAGATTCTATGATATTTGAGTAAATTAATAAAAATTTATTATACATTTTGTCTGCAGTTGAAATTCTTAAAATGCATTGTCCAGTTCATTCCTTCAACCACTCTACTTATTTCAGAGTAGTTTCCATTATGATAGTCAAAATATTTATTCAATATTTTATTTTCAAATTTAGTCAATTCACTGTTGATGACTAATTTCCATATTAATACAGAATGTACTTGTTTGGTATTGCCAAGAGGAGACAAATGCATTAATTCAAATACATTCTTAGGTTTATCAGTGAATACTATCATTAAAGAACGTTGCATCACTAACGTGTTGATACAATGAAGATTTATTTACAGTACGAGCAAATTCTTTATCGGGTTCATTATCACTTGCTCTAATGTCTTTAACTAAACCATTTGGCCTATAATTTTTGGGTTATTCAAGTCTCCAATCAATAAAAAACTTGTATGTACTTTATTATTAATTTTAATTTTAGCATTTTTATTACCTCATTTAATTGTTTATTTAAAATCAAATTTCCTGGACGGTATATGCATCATAATATTATTTTCTTATTATATTTTACTATAGTTACCCATATTATCTTAAGATTTTGTTCAATATTTGGAAATGTCACTTCATATTGCACAAAATTGTTCTTTATGTAGATAGCTACGTCACCACCTCCTCTTCCATTATTAATTTCTTTTCGGTATAATAAATAGCCATCCAAAATTGATACCAAGTTGCTAGAAAACCACGTTTCTGTTACTTTTGATGTACTTTTACAGAAGCTTCAAATCCCAGAAGCTTGTTTTCTTGAAAATGTGGCGTTAGTGTAACAACATTTCAATTTATTACTTTTGCTTTTGCTGTAATACTTCGTTTTGCTGTAATACTTCGTTTCCCCAGATCCCATATTGAAAGGAAGTATCGTTTTTTAAAGAATTATTTAATTCATTCCGTTTAGTTTGCAGTTGAAAATTTAATAATCTTTCTGCTTCAGTTTGATTGTGACTGATAAACATGTTTCCAAATTTAAGATTCCTTTTTACATTTTTTAGCTTGTCATCATATTTAATATTAATATTAAATTATAATGATAATTATATATAAATATTGAACGAAAAAAACATAATAAAGTAAAACCTATAAATTATTTTAATTTATGGAATAATTAAGATTATGACAACTTAGATTAAGTGACAATTTTACGTCACAATAACTATCAAAATAAAATTTAATGGCTATACTAAAGCGCAAATACAGAAAAGTTTTGGTTGAATGAGTTAGTGAGTTAGATAATCAATTGGTTTAAAAAAAACTGTTATTTTAAAAAAAAAAAAAAAACTGTTATAAACTAATAAAAAAAAAAATTATGCAACAAAATAATATAAATTATAGAGAAATAAATACAGAAAAACATTGATATAGAAATCAATTACTAAATTGTATAATTACAAAAATATATAAATAATAATATTATTAATATATGGACAAAAAGTAAGAAAAACGCCAATAGAGTTAGGTAAAGACAACAAATAAATTTCAATTAAAAATATACAAAAACAGAAAATAATACACAAATGATGCTCATAGAAGATCATAGTATGTAATTTGTAAAATCTTCATAGAAATATGTAAAATCAAATAATTAAACCAAAAACTGATTTAATAATTAAAATCTTAAATCAAAAACTACCTGAAAGATGCAAGTAGAGGAGAATAGATGGAATTTCCATCAAAGATGAACAAATTGTCATAAATACACTCTGTAGCAAACTTATTTAAACTGAATGTTATTATGGAATTGTTTCTAAATAAAATATATTTTATTATTGTCATGACAATCTTTAACGTTTTTTAGTTAAATAAAATAATAATAATAAAAATAAATTTAAAAAAATACAAAATATCAAGTCAACTTATTACCTTCCACTATCTATCAAAAATACAAATTTTGATTCATCGTCGTATCCATCTTCTGATAAAAAAAGATACCCTTGAGGTTCAGTAATTCTAAATATATATATATATATATATATATATATATATATATATATATATATATATATATATATATATATATATATATATATATATATATATACATGTATATATATATATATATATACATGTATATATATAAATATATACACATATATATTTGTTTGAGATATATATACAATATATTTAAATGGAGGGCTTTAAGACACTTTTTAATTATATTAAATTATACTCAAACTTAATTTTGTGTGGTCTTTTTTTATGCTAACTTTTTTTTTCTTTTTTTTTTTCGTGTGGCACATGAAAATTCCAATCAAAATATAACAAAATTGATCAAATATGTACACGGTTAGCACGGATCTTTATAATGCCTACCTAGCTGTCTCAAGAATGCCAATTATACGGAAAGTTAGCGTACACATCAAGGTACCCTGTGATGCAAATTTTAATTTTGTCAGCAGAAAATAATTTAATTTGAACGTTCAAATTAAGTCAAATTTTGACTTCATAGTGTGCCAATAAAAACACTTGTAGACTTTGAACCACTTAATATAACTTGATAAAAATTGGTGCAAATGTAGCCAATAGTCACACCAAACTCTGGACAAAATTTCAGCCTGATTGGGTAACTGATGTAGGATTCAGTGTAGTTTTAGTTTTGTCAGTTTTTTGCTACTTTTACCTCAAAGCGTTACTGATTACTTTGAAATTCTGTCACTATTTTTAAAATAACGGTATCAGTGTTCTACTATGTAATACCAACAATTTTTGTTATAATTATTTTATCGGTACATGCACAGTTTTCATTTTATAGACAAAAACAGTGATTTGCTACTTAAAGCGTGATTTGAATTGACTTATGCCAATGGCGTTGACACTGCCTTTAAAGTGGAGGGGGTCAACCCCTCAATTTCTAAAATAAAATCCATAATTTCTAAAATAATTGCCTATATTTCTAAAACAAAAGGTCCTTACAAAAAAAAAAGTGGGCAGGCCATGGCTTCCTTGACAGCCATGTATGCATAGCGTGAATATACCAACATTACCTGAATGCAAAAAAATTCTAAAAAAATGGTTAAGAAGGATTTCTAGGGATACCTACATAGAAAATAAAAATATTTATTTATTTGAAAACAGAACAACTGGGAAAAACCAAATATTTTTTATATTGACAAAGATAATTGACATAAAAAATTTAGATAAGTTAACTAAGATATCTGACCAATACAAAGTTTGAAGGGCCAGTCGGAGGAAAATTACTCTAACTGAATAACTAATTAGGTTGAAGGGTTGTTTTGAAATAAAACAACCCGTGTGACAAGTATCATTAGTTTAATAAGTGTGATAATTTCCTTACAAGTAAATAGTTAAAACTTGTTTCCTGGTAAGGAAAGAACTATTCAAGAAACCTCAATTAAATCAAAGTAAATATTTCCTTTATTTTAATAGTTTTTATTTAATAATATGTGCTACTATGTTATATGGATTGTTATCAAATATAAATTTAGGCCAAATTTTGTAAGAGGCAGAGTTTGATTTAGTGAAGTCAAATTTAGTGAATTGCCTTGATGCCAAATTAAGCAAAGAACCGTGATGAAAATCAAAAGTTTGTGTGCTTGCTTTGTCTGAAAAAATGTTTAAGACAGCTTACTACTTTTCAAGCAGATCGAATATGCAAACTGTACAAGACCAAGATCAATATCAGTGATACTCAGGTACCAAAAGGATTCTGCGAATCGCGTAGAATTATTTTGTGCAGGAAACAAGAGGGGAAAGAAGTTGCACTCCCTCCTTTGTTTGATTTTAAGTCAATACAAGTGAGACCTGAAACAAGAGGCACGATGTGTTGTTGCCTAATATGCCGAATTTTAAAGTCGTTCAAAGCTGCAAGAAAAATATCCCCTTATAGAGCAAACCACTATTAAGAAAAACCAAAGGTGCGTTGCAGCAAATGCCTCAGCCCTTTAGGAAAAGGTTTGCCCCACCAATGCTCTTAAATAATGTCAAGGGAAAACATTTAATCTTTAGCAGCAAAAGATGCCAAATCATCCGAACAAATCGCATCTCGAGTTATTTCCAATAAAGAATTATCTCCGGAAGGAACTATTTTACTGGCTAAAGCATCCGGCGGGCCTCCACTTACAGTTACCCCTAGTAAATATTTATACTTAAATAATTTTAACATATATATTGAAATAAAGTCTTGACTATTAAGAAATAACACTAGATAGATTTCAAGAAATATATTTTTGACAAGTTTCTAATTTCTTTAAAAACGAATAATTTGAAAGTTTTACACAAACTTACTAAACAAGGTTTTTTGTAACTATAAAATATGTATGTTTTGGTTTTAGGTCAAAGTAGTGCGCAGACACTATCAAGTGCTCCTATTTTTGACCACTGTAGCCCTTGTAAATGTGCAATTAAATAGGGGCCGGTCAAACACTGGATTAAAGAAACTTGTTAGAACTGTAAACAATACATCAAGCAGCAAGATGGTAGAGCGAAATTTCTACATTAATTTTTTAAGACTAGGTCAACAATTGAGCGATTTCTTCACCTGCAGCGACTTAAAAATTACAGGCGAAAAAACAGATTCTTATGTTGTTGCTCACTGCAATGATTTAACAGTTTATGTTGTTGCTCACTGCAATGATTTATCAAGTCTTGTGAATCATGTTATTCAGTCCTGCAAAATTTCTGGAGGCTATTTTGTTAAGCTCGGAATTGATGGTGGCAAAGGTTTCACGAGAAAAATTACTGCTAAAGTTTCAGAAGATTTGCCAGAAACACACATTAATATTGAACAAATCTGGTCACTGATTAATGCAAATGGAGTTAAACAAATTTTGGCTTGTGGTATGAAAGTTGCAAATATAATTTGTGGTCTTCAAACTCATTTAAGTACGCACCCTTGCACCTGGTGTGACGTCAAATCCAATTGTCTTGACAAATCTGGAAACTTGCAAACATTGGGCTCAATTAATTCAAGCCTTGAATCTTTTCAGCAATCTGCCGGGGTTGCTGCTAATGCAAAGCTGTTTAGCAATGTCATTTGAAAGCCAGTCATCTGCGAGCCTGTCAATGTTTTGATTTTGGAAATCATTCCACTGATGGAATTGCATCTCCTCTTAGGAGTTGTCAACCATTTTTTCAAGATTCTTAAAACTGCTTGGATAGAAGCTGTTAAGTGGCTAGCCGCCCTCCACATTCAACTGAGCCCATATCACGGGGGCCAGTTTGAGGGAAATGAATGCAGGAAGCTTCTTAAAAATGTGGATATGCTGCAGCAACTTGCTGAGACAAACATGGTTCTCAATATTGTGTGCATATTTGAAGCATTCAAAAGCTTCAATTTAGTTGTACTAAGGCTTGCTTCGGATCCATCCTTCAGCCGGATTTCGCTGAAAAAATTGAAAATTTCAAAAAGTGTAACCTAATGATAACTGGTGCAAGCGTAACACCGAAAATTCACGCCGTCTTCTACCACATCAAAGATTTCATCAGTCACAAAGGATCCTCTTTGGGGCCCTATAGTGAACAAACTGTTGAAACTTGTCATCAAGATTTTTATAAACATTGGTCAAAGTATAAGCGAAATAATAATCGTACAGACTACAAAGAAAGATTGTTGCGCTGCATAACTGATCTAAACAGTAAGCATCTTTAAAGAGCATCATTTAAGTTATTAGAAATTAGACTGCTGAAATTCATATTTTTCGGCGTATAATGAATATTTTCACCATCTTTAAAGTAGTATTATAGAGTATTTGTATTAAAAGAGTACATTGAGCTATTTATTAATAATCTTTTGGTGGAGAAAATCAAAAAAACATTCCTTAAAATGTAATTAGATATTTGATGGTAATACAATGTAAAAAATAGGGTTTAAATAGTTTTCACTTCATTTTAAAAGTAAATGTATTTAAGGTCAATACAAAAAATTTTAGATTTTTTTTATATTTTACTAACTGGTAGTCCTTTGACCAGATTTTGCACTTTTTTTTAGCTTTTTTTTTTTGGCAGCAATTTATACCTTAGGAAATGTTGGTATATTCAAGCAAAGCATACATGGCCGTCAATGCCGGGGAGGCTAGGGTTCATGCCCTTTTCTACTTTTTTTTTGCGAGGAACTTTTGTTTTAAAAATATAGGGAATTATTTTGGAAATTATGGATTTTATTTTTGAAATTGAAGGGTTGACCCCCTTACGCCATTGGCATAACCCAATTCAAATCACGCTTTAAGTAGAAAATCACTATTTTGGTCTATAAAATGAAAACTGTACATGTACTGATAAAATAATTATAACAAAAATTGTTGGTATTAAATAGTAGAACACTGAAGTAACCGTTATTTTAAAAATAGTGACCAAATTTCAAAGTAATGGGTAACGCTTTGAGATATAAGTAGCAAAAAACTGACAAAACTTTAACTAAAACTGCACTAAATCCTACATCAGTCATCCAATCAGAATGAAATTTTGTCCAGAGTTTGGTGTGACTATTGGCTACATTTGCACCAATATTTATTAAATTATATTGAGTGGTTCAAATTCTACAAGTATTTTTATTGGTGCATTATGAAGTCAAAATTTGACTTAATTTGAATGTTCAAATTAAATTATTTTCCACGGACAGTGGAAATTAAGTGGAAGTTAAACGATTTCAAAATTTGCATCACAGGGTACCTTGATGTGTACGCTAACTTTCCGTATCAGTGGCGTTCTTGGGACAGCTAGGTAGGCATTATAAGGATCCGTGCTAACTGTGTGTAACAGGTTTGATTAGCCTTATATCAACATCTTTTTTCAGTTGTTCTTGGTATGATTTAAATATGATTGTTACTTTAAATGCCTATTATAGATTATCTATGTAAATATTCCAAGTTAATATCGTGGGTTTTATATTGTGGGTTTTATATTATTTATTAATAAAACTAACAAATTATAATGGGGTAAATGTTTGTACTGTACATGTTGCAAAGATCTTCATATAGGATCTTTGCCCCTCA